AGAAGTGTCTCTGCTTTCACGTTATGTCTCTTTCCCTTTTGATATCTCACTCTCTCACTCTTTCTCTCTCACACCATCCGTCTGTCCTTTTCCGTCCGTCTCACGTCTTCTGTCATGTCTCCGGTTTGGTAGTAAAAATATCCTGCTCTGAAATCAGCAAGCGATCACTGTATGGTTTATGTTTCAAGACATACATTATATGCATTAAATATGGCTGTATAGTAAGTTATTTGTACTTGAAGCTGTGACCTGTTTGTTAAATAAAACTTATATACATATGTATGTATGTATATATGTATATATATATATATATATATATATCAACTCAATTATTCAACTCAATATTTATGAGTTTATGGTTTCATTTTTTATAACTAAGATATTCAAATATATTACATATTTACATATTTTATATTATTTATAAATATTTTTACATTTTATTCAGCATTTTATTAAGCATCTATAAAAAAAAATTAATCTAATGATGAACTATTTAACTCCATATTTTTCCCCCTTTGTATTAGTATTTCACATTATTAGCTTAGAGACATGCTATTGTGAAACGAATAATTGTGAAAGTCATCATGAAACGGAAGTTGTAATGTTATATGTATAACGTATAACAGTCAAACAGGTTCTTGCACAAGAAAAAAAATGTAGGGTGGTAATTGATTTGAAAATATAATAATAATAATAATAATAATGCTATGAATAGATAAATCATTTATAATAAACGCTGCAGTATTTCAATTAAAAAAATAGGAATTGTCCATTTTTATTTATTGGTGATTTCATGGTGATTTTAAAATCCTTAGAGATTTTAAGACTGTATATACTTACAGAAGGTGGTTCAGTGGTCACCCAGCTTGGCCAGACTGGTTAGGCTGATCTGTTTTGCTGGTTTTAAAGGGCTGAAGGTCAGACTGGGAGACCAGCTGAACTAGCCTAGACAAGCAAACCACTTTAGGCTAGTTTAAGTTATTTTTATTTTCAGCATGTATGTTTCAAACTCTCATTTAACTATAAAAACCACAATGACAGACAATTCTTAGTTAACACATCTGCATCCTGAGAGGCGAAAAATAACCCCTGCGCTATAGAGAACAGCGGTGGCTTTAGAGTGAAAAAAATATCACCCTGAGATGTTTAAACACCATTTTCTATAGATCTCCATCTGGAGTGCTGCGTGTGGCGAGGTGCAGTATGTGATAATGGCAGTGTGATGTGTAGCCTGTAGTTTCCCTCTCCACCACGCTGGCTGAGGCCACACCTGCCACAACTGGCGCAGGCTGAGCCAGCACGGCTGACCGAATATGCCACCAGGGTCTGGCTGCACACGGGCAGATCCGGCGGTGTGACGCCTGCAAGCCCTACAGATATGATCTGAGGCCTGAAGTGAAAGGACAGAAACCACTGCCTACAGTACATCCCAGTAAGAGCCATGGCAAACAGACAGATGAGAAGAAGAGAAGGAAAAAGAGATAGAATGGGTGGACCAGAGAAGAACAGAATGAATAAACAAGACAGCTGCACACACAAATTACGTTTTTTATTCAGTATTTTGTCTAGTTATTCAGTAAAAATAATATTCTGTTTTGTTTTGTTTTTTATGTAAATTTGAGAGCTGCATGAAGTGTCATGACAATTTTTCAAAAATCTTCCATTTTTGTATTCTACAGAAGAAAGTAGCATACAAGTTTGAAACATGAAGATGCATAATGAAATTTCATTTTTGGGTGCAACATTGCTTTAAAAAGAACAAAATATGAGCACTAGATATGCATTTATTTATTCAAAATGCTTCTTATCAATTTTGAGATGAGCATTTTAGAGACAAAAAAACATATCTGCATTTTTGATATTCTTCCTTTTCAAAGTGCACATAATTATTATGTTAAACTCCAAACTGCACTTATCAGTAACGGCCCCAATTCTTCTGACGTTCTACAAACCACACAGATTGATTTCCATTTTCACTCATCATTGTGTTCCCATCAGCAGCAAGTTGAGTGACACACTGAGCGGGCCTCTCTAAAGGTCAGCCTGCTCTCATGTGACCTGTGGTTTAGCAGCACTCTATGCTGGAAAAACCCAGAGAGAGCAGCGTGCTCGCAGAGGGGTCGGGGGACCTTCTGAAACGTGCTGCACTCTGCAAGCAGATCTAGATATGAATCAGAGTGTAGCAACATGACATATAAAAAGAATGACAGGTAAAAGAAACTCATCTGTGGTATGTGCCTTGCAGGAATGTCCCACATCAGCAGGATTCTGTATTTGCGCACGACTTGCTTGTCATTTAAGCAATGTAGTAGCTCATTTATCTAAACGATGCAGATGTACACCACCAGTCAAAAGGCTGATACACCTATGCCTTGATTATCATTCCCCACATTTTAGAATAATAGCAAACTACATTTATTACCTTTTTAGTCTTAGAAATTTCTACACAAGCAAAATTTAAACCTGATTTCAAGCGTTTAAGCATAAGCTTTTAGAGCAAAATGTTTTCAAATTAAAAGACACACACAATAAGTATATAAGTGCATCCAGACATTTGACTCGGGTATATCTTTGAACACATGAAACAAATTAAATATTCAGATCTCTGTAAAAACCACCAGCTCTCTGATTATTAATAAACACTAGTGAGTTTGGCAATTTATTCCATTGACTCAATTTGACTATACAGAAACAGACCAGGGAATAATCAGTACAAGCATTTGAATAAGTCTGATCAAGAAACATTACTACTGACTGCAGTGATCATTACATCTGACTGCCATGATTAGAACATCTGACTGCAGTGATTATAACATCTGACTGCAGTGATTATAACATGTGACTGCAGTGACCATCACTTCTGACTGCAGTGAACGTTACTTCTGACTGCAGTGACTATAACATCTAACTGCACTGCAGTGATTATAACGTCTGACTGCAGTGATTATAACATCTAACTGCAGTAATTTTAACATCTGACTGCAGTGACCATCAATTTTGACTGCAGTGATTATAACATCTGACTGCAGTGACCGTTCCTTCTGACTGCAGTAATTATAACATCTGACTGCAGTGACCATTACTTCTGACTGAAGTGATTATAACATATGACTGCAGTGAGCACTGCAGTAATTATAACATCTGACTGCAGTGACCGTTCCTTCTGACTGCAGTGATTATAACATCTGACTGCAGTGATTATAACGTCTGACTGCAGTGACCGTTACTTCTGACTGCAGTGATTATAACATCTGACTGCAGTGACCGATACATCTGACCACAGTGATTATAATGTCTGACTGCAGTGACCGTTACTTCTGACTGCAGTGATTATAACATCTGACCACGGTGATTATAATGTCTGACTGCAGCGACCGTTACTTCTGACTGCAGTGATTATAACATCTGACCACAGTGATTATAGCATCTGACTGCAGTGACCGTTACTTCTGACTGCAGTGATAATAACATCTGACTGCAGTGACCGTTACTTCTGACTGCAGTGATTATAACATCTGACCACGGTGATTATAATGTCTTACTGCAGTGACCGTTACTTCTGATTGCAGTAATTATAACATCTGACCACAGTGATTATAACATCTGACTGCAGTGACCGTTACTTCTGACTGCAGTGATTATAACATCTGACTGCAGTGACCGTT